ATACAGCTCTTAAATGTATAAGTATCCTGAAATCTTGCTTCTGAAAACAAAAAGTAATTGATGTATGTTTTGTTTTAACTAGTCTTGTATATGTCCATTTGAAGCAAGGCAATAATGAGAGGCATTCTATAGGTTATCTTATTAAGCATACAGACCTCCACTCTTGAGTTTTGTTTTCTCACCAGTTGCTTTTACCTGAACTGAACTTCAGACAGATTCTGTATCATAAGTGAAATTCTCATCCTTTTCAGATTCTCATCTAAGTACTTTGTTTCACTGCAGTTAATTGTTCATTCTTCTGAGGTCCATCTTTTTCTACATACTGCTCATAGGTAAATTTACTACCTGCAAACATTCTTTTTTGATTAAAGAATTTCCTGAAGGGAGAAAGTACACTGTGTAAAGTAGATGGCCTTGTTATTCTTGCTGCTGTATCTGATGTTATTAGCTCCATGATTATTTTGTCAGGCTGCTCATTTTGTATCTGATACCTTTTAATAAGCATCATTTCATATAAGTTCTCCTTGCTTTAGTTTTGTTCCTTCTAAACAGGAGATACAGTTCTATGATAACGGTAGGCCCAATAAGATACTGAGTTAATGGTATAACATGGGTATAAAAATAAAAAACCCTGACTCTTAATCACTTGGTATTTTATTTTATCTTTGTAACTTCAGAATAGCCCAAAACTTTAAATGGAAACTTCCATTCACACTTATTTATAATTCATAATCCAAATAAAGATTGTTTTGAACTGTATTTGTTCTCATTAGCCAAGCACTGAGGGTGAGGGCGACAACATGCACAGTGTTTTAATTGGAAATTAAAAATGCTGTTTTTATAATGTATAATAAATACATTAAAACTTTGATGAGAGGTCTTCTGCTGATTTGAATATGCTGATCTGTATATTACTTGTCATATGTTTCTACTGTAACTGAATTGAGAACAGCTGAAGTTTAAGTGACCTTTGAATTTCATGAATTAATTTTAAAAAAGGTTTATATTTCTGTTTCATATTCCTTAAAGACTGTTGTGTAATTTGTCAGTATTAGCCATTTTCACCTTGAATATTCTACTTGTGACGCTTGGAGTCTTCTGGCCTCATTTTATAGCCATATGCAAAAGCTGTTTTAAAGCACTGATAGCACTGTGCACCTTGAACTTGCTTGCACTAGAAATGGTGTAGAGAACAAGTAAATGATTGATTCAAAAGTACATGGAGGGAATAGTAGAAGAAATTGGGTTTACATGTCCCCTGGAGGACTGTCTCTGATGTTAAGTGTTCTCAGTCCTTTTAAAGATTAATCTGGAGAGGGAAGACTCAGCTTAAACTTTGCTATTTTGCATTGCAGTTCAATGGTTTGTAGTTTATAAATAGCATCAGATCAGTTTGTCCCACTTTTAATTCAGGTTTCTCAGCTTCATCAATCTGAATCAATCAAGCTTAAGTCAGAATTTTTATGTGTACACTACTGTTACAGATGGGATATCTCTGAACAGGATAAGGACCTTTTTCCTTATGGTTGCTTAGAAGTAAACCTTATCTGTTAAAATAACTTAAAACATGTATAATTTTTTATTAAATTTTATATGTTTTATCTTTTATCTGTTTGCATGGTTATCTATGTATATTCAGGGTATTGGAGAATTGGTAGGTAAGCACAAACATGGTTTTGCAATGGTTCTGTATGTATTCTGGCCTGTTTTTTACAATCTGGAGAAACAAGCACACAGAACAGCCAGGTGCGTAGTGCTTAGAATCTTCGGAGTCCCAGTTGCTAAATAAAGAAGAATCTGAAATTTAAAATAATATCATGGGATAGTTTGGGTTTGTTCCTATCATACGAATAGCACTAACCTGAAACTTGGAACACTGGTTTTCATGAAGCTGTCTGTGCCTTGAATTAGTGTTGAGGAATGGGTCTCCTCACACTGAAGACACTTCTGAAACTGAAAACACTCCTGCCATTATAATTTGCATCTCCCATATCAGTAGCATGTGATGTAGAACTTCAAATAATAGTGAGATCCTTCATAAAATAAAGCATTGTGTGAAGTAAAGGGAAAGGTAAGAGGTCACTGAGAAAAAGCCATTCAGATGTCTGATTAATTAGTCTTTTTATTTGATTAATGCAGAGTAATTAATTAAAATTTCTGATCTTAAAATTGACAGTCCTATGTATATTTCAGCTGTTACTAACTCGCATCACGTTGCATCCTTACAAAGACTTTGAGGTTGGAAGTCACCTCTGGAAGTCATCTGTTCCAAACCTCCTGCTCAGGCAGGGACACCTGGAGTCAGTAATGTTTAGAAATTAGTGTTCTTCAGCCCCACTATTGTTGTGGACTCCTTCTACCCACTACTTTGCCTGTAATACTTACCTGTCTGGAAAGGCTTTAACTTTACAAGTGGTCTGAGTTGCAATAGTATTGGTTCCTGTAATGTTTCAGGCATCACAACATCTGGCCTTTCTGAACAGAAGTAATTTTCTGATGGGTATTTTTTATACATTTATATTGTAATGGAAGACAAAGGTTTTTTTTTTTCTGTTCCAAGTTTTCATGTCATGTTATTACCAACACATTCAAACCCAGAAATGTTCATATAAATGCAGATCCAGCAGATGTATATGAGTGACAAATTTTGTGCTAGAAAAATTAATCAGGAAGTTTGCTTAAGTGTACATAGCAATAAGACACCTTAAAACTATATATACATCTTATTGTTACGTGAACTCATAAAGAAAAAACCCCACTCCTTAGCAGACTTGGTTGATCATGGAACAATTTCCAGAGCTGCAGCTGTTTCTGTAACATGCAATTAGGGATCTGAATTAAAGTGCTGAACTTTACAGATGTGTTTAATCTTTATGTGATAGATCTTATAACGTGCAAATGACCAGGTTCTATACCCCATTCTCCATGTATTAAGCTTTCTAATAAGTGGAACTTCTCTACTGTGGAAGACAGATCTGTGACTTAATCTGAGACGGCCATGAGTTACATAAAATCATATATAAATGAATACCTTCCATGGTGCTTCAAAAACCCATGCCTTCCTCATTATTATTATTATTACTATTATTATTTAGAATAAACATTCTGCACACTCATTACTCAAGGATTGCACACTGGAAGACTGACTCAAACATACTATTTTTCCTAACGTTGGCCCTGTCTGAGAGAAGTCTAAACTGACCCTGACTCTTTGCTAGGGAGTTTGGAAATACTGGAAGAATGTGTGTACATGTGGATGTATAAATGCTACCTCCATGTTAGTAATGTACTGATTAACATTTAAGAAGCTGACAAATTGCTTCCTTCTGGACTTGAAAAAAATCTAAATGTCTTAGAAAAAAAATTTGCTGTGTCTGAAAATAAGTTGAAAATGAATGCATTTTTCCTAAATTGAAAATTTTCAAACTCATTAAACAAGATGAAATAGCTAAATTGAGCAGCAGGTTGGTAACTGCTGTTTCAGATAACTGCATGGGCTTTAACTGGCTCTGGAGATGTGGGATGAAGCTGTGTGGATTAGTAGCTTCACTAACTTTGTGGTAGCAGAGGTAAAAGGAAGAAGGTAAGGAATCGAATAGTTCAGTGATACCTATAAATATCGTGTGGGAAGCAATCAAAGGAACATGTAAGAGTTTTTGTATGATATTTGAGACACAGCTTGTTATGACGCATTGATATAGTCCTTGTTTATGAGTCACAGGCTCAGTCTATAGACCTATTTCAACATCTGTCTAATTTTTAACATGTGGGCAGTTGCTATGTGAAGACTCTCAGGCAACTTTATATGGGGTGTGAGATACATCCATCCACATTCTTGCTTGGTATTTTTTGTGAAGAGCTTCAGGACTTTAATCACATTGAATGTGGATGGAAAATTTAAAAGCAGGATCAGAGCTGACAGTGGCAGACTTACAGAGCTATGTGAATACACTTTTAGGACTAGTACCATAGTATGTAACACACTTTGGATATTCTTTCTGATGAGAAAAGACATGATGGTGTTAATTTGCCAGTGCTGTTTTCCACGTTTGAAAATGAAATGAGTTGATTGATTTCAGCTATGTTACCTTTTATTCTGAAAAGCAGTACTGTGTTTGAGAACAAAGGGAAACAGTAAAAATCTTTGTGAATGCATGTTAGAGGTACTAGTTTATTTCTGCCTGTACCACAGACTTACATTCAAAAGGCCAATTTTGTATTATCTGTAGTATGTTCTTACAGTAGAAACTCGCTACAAGTCATTTCAGAAGGGAAAACTATAATTTATAGAATGGGTTTAACCAGTTGTAAAGAAGACCAATAATCTCAACAGCATAACACTGTTTAGTGTACGTACAAAGTTACCAGTACTGCCAAATCATTTGTACTCTCTTGTGCTGCTAACGTTATTATCGGCCTGATCAATATTACACGGTTGGGACATTCTTCTGCTATGTACATGAAAACAATTCTATTTTCCCAGCTATATTGTAATCAGATTATTTACTTTCAGAGGGCTGCAGCTTTACTGTGTTTCTTTTGTTTCTCACAAATTAATTTTTTTTTTTTGACGTGGAGTGGGAGGATTAGTAACTCGGCTGACTTTGAATGTATGAACATTTACCTGAAACTGAGAACTGATTCTTTGTGAACTTTGAACTTGCACTGCATTTTGTATTTAAATACAATGAAAATGGTATCAGCTGCTCAGTGCAGTACTGCCTATTTGAAAACAGATTGTCAAAACGCCTTCTAATTAGTGTGTGCAGTAATTTGCTTTTCTTTAATGCTATTAATATTTAAGATTTTTGAAGGAAACATGTCCTGTGTTAGACCTTTCTAATGTTCAAGTCCTGATACGGAATTTTTCCCTGGCTTTTAACCTTTGTTTCATTTCTCTGATTAATAAATTTAGGTCTTCTGTAATGAATTTGGATGTATGCTATTTGTCATTTAAGTATAGCATGCCTGGCACTGATGATTTATTTTACTTTTTAAAGGCCATGGTTAAAAGTTTTATGGATGTCTACGAGCTTGCAAGTTCCAGAATTGACATGCTGCTGAGAGAAGCAGCATCTCATAAGCTTCCCCCTGCAGCCCCAAAGTCCAAGAGCCAAACAGTTTGTCTTCATGAAAATCAGAACCTGCAATTGGTAAGTCTGCTTTTCAGTTAGTTTTTGTCATTTGGCTGTGGTTTCCTAGCCAGCATCTCCCTTCAAGCTGCATAGTATCTGTAGGGAAATTCAGTAATATTTCATTATAAACATAATAGAGCAATAATATTTGTGTCAACAGAAATCTTCCGAGACTTTAACAGAAGAGAAAGGGGGTGGTAAAAGTTAACATGAGGATTCATTTTACTACTGTATCTTCTACAAGGACCTATTAATTGCTGCTGTCACTAGAAAATTATACATTGTGATTTCTTGGGTTTTGACAGTACAGTGAAATGGTTAAACCAGAATATTATTAACTGTGCATGTAAACAAAATGTTTGTTAGGAGAAATGCTGGCATTTTTTTAAACAATAGTGGTTATGAATAATACTTTCTGCTAAACTTGCAGGGTTAAAATCCAATTTCAGAAATAATTTCTTGTTGCCTACAAAGATACTTGGAGTTGTTTAAGGCTAATAAGGTGATTGTTCAGATATGAGAGCTCTCTCTAGGGGGATTACTGAATGCAGATGTATTTGTGTCCCACAGGCAGGAGGCCAGACACATAAACTGTCATAAATATGTAGCCAAGTATGTCTAGAATGAAACTGTGCAAGCTGTGCAAGTTGCATACACTTAATGTATTTCTTCTCCATCTTTCTTTACTTTGCCATGTGGAATAAAAGAGAAAATTTGGAGGGTTGTTTCTTTTTTGGTAATGTTTTGGTGTTTGGTGGGGTTTTTTTTGTGTTCTCTCTTTTATCCTTTCTCCTCTTTTATTCTTATGAAGCAGACGATCATAAAGAAAATGAGGGTGTTTGCCTTTTTGAAATTGAAGATTGGTAAGAAGAGATCCTTCACTAATTCAAGTGACATAAACACAACAGCAAATGTATATTCAAAGACTGTGGCTGTGGCCTTGGTTGTTTCCAACAGAATTACATTTATTTCTTATCCTGCTCCTATATTGGATCACTACAATGGGAAATTATTGCAAATCGAAAAGATACTAATCAGTGCTGAATTTTAGTTTTCAGAGTTGAATGAAAGCTTTGTTTTATTTGTGACTGCACAACCTTTCTAGGAAACTAAATGAGATCACTTCACTAAAATTGCTCCTTTTCTCCTCCACTCAGGCTTTATGTTTTTTACTGGGTTTACATGTGGCCTGCTGAGCCTGTGCCCAGTGTAACTGGGTTGCTGCTTTTCCTGTTATGATTGGCTTTGTTGTTTAAGTCAAGATGAACACTTGTGTACTAACGATTGGGAAGTGTGCCAATCTTGTTGCAGCAAAGTTTGCTTCATTTTGGTTGAGAGAGCTTTTAGCGAGGTTATGCTAGTCCTGCCTGTAAAGGGTTATGCAGTGACTTGATATGTTACAGTGAAAACAAATACTTTGCCCTCCCATCTCTCTGATGCCTGTGGGTAAATACAGTGCTTTTAAAGTAATTCGTGTCTGCCTATGGTATCAATGTAAAGACGATGCTTTCTGCATTGTAGTAGGATCTGTTGGCCTTCCTATAGAGCCCTCTAGGGAAAAGAATAGTTCTTCCTTTAGGTGTAGTTTAATTTGAACCAAAGCATGAGCTTTAATGGAAAGTGGGTTAGAATTTGAATGCAGAGGCAAAAAAAAATATAGAATTATATGTGTTCAAGTTTCATTTAAAAAAAATGTGTTTATGGTATCTTGTACTATATTTTAGTTTTCTGTAAACTTGTCCCTAATATTTGGAAAAGTTGCATCAAGCGTGACTTCAGCCATCACAGCTTTCAGGAGCAACCGACATTAAAGTTTCTACCAGTGCTGCTCTGTTCTGATTTTAAGGAAGAAGTTTGTACTAATTTTTTTTCTGTATTAAAAGAGGAGAACAAATATTTTGCTTGATTATTTGTAATGAAAGGCAGTAATGACTTTTCTTGAATATCTGTTTGGTTTCAGAGTTGTACATACCTGAAACCAACAAGGTATGCTCTATGACTGAGCACAAAGGCAAAACTTTTTATGTAGGAGATAAATACAGCAGCTGGACTGTATTAATTGCAGGTCTTCATATGACAGATGCTTGTATTCCTAGAACAGTAACCTATTACTGAGTGCTGAAGTACATTTTTGAAAAGTCTTTCGGGTGTATACCATCTGTGGACTGTTACCTTATAAGATTAGGGCTTTTCTCAGTGTGTTGTGGCTGTCTTTAGATGTCCGAGTGCTGGTTATATAAGTTTCTTGCCCTCCCAGCTGCCCATTGAATCTAAATTTGAGCCATTCATCAGTACTCATCTTTTCCATGTTTAGAAGGTAGTGCTTTCCTAATTGATCTTTTTTGTACTGAAATTTTCTAGCTATGTTGCCTTTCTGTTCATACCAATTTTTTTTTCTGTTCTGTTGGCTTGGGTTTTGCTGATAATTGTGAAAAACAAAACTGATGCCATAAGGCAATACCAGTGATTCTGACTTCTCATCTTTTATCTAAGACTCTGAATTGATGTCTCCATCCTCCAGGCTGCTTCTAGTCCAACCACTTTCCTTCTAGTCAGTAGTGTTTAGATTCTGAGGTTATGTGTACTCATGCTAATGCCAACAGAGAACAGGAGGGGATATGATTATGATGGACAGAGATGAGATGAACGCTGGGAACACTGCTTACAGTGATGAGAATTATTATGTGGGCTGAAGAGAAGAATGTCTCTGTACTCTTCATTTGTGTCCAGCTGTCTGTTGTGCTCATCTCTGATGATTCTTCCTCTGTGCAGAGAAAGGCCCTGTGCATTTTTCATTCTTGCAACTCTTAAAAATTTAGTATGCCTGAAATATAGATTATTGGTTTTCTACCTAAATTTTTTTTCTATTGTTCCCTATTCCTGTATTACTTTTCCATTTTGCCTTTTTTTTTTGTTTCTTTACCAAATGCTTCTGAAATTTCCCTTACATTTCTAAAATGTCAAGCTTCTTTTGCAACCATAAAAGTTTCACTTCTGTGCATTTCTTTTTTTTTTTTTTAATTACTTTCTCTGAAGTGCAAGTACCACAGTCACAATTCTGTCCTCCAGTACTTGCTTCATTGCCACATACCACATGTATGTCAGGTTATATGTATAATTGGTAGACATGATGATGATGATGATAATAATAATGATTCAGCTAAGAAGATATGCTGTTTGTAATCTTGGCTATAGGTATGTAGGTTGCAAGAGGAGGAACAGAGAAGCCAGCAGTCAACCTCTAGCATGAAATAAGATAATTACTTCACTGAGCACTAAACTCATTACTGGACTGGCACTGCTGTTTTCTCCATGAAATTTAAGGAACTGTATTGTTTCCCTTTACATGACTCTCTATTTCTCAATGTTTTCCTTAGAAGGTGAATTTAGTGGAAGTACTTCACTGATAGTAGCTAACTGTATATACCATCTGTATGTAAGCAAAGAAGGTATCAGCTAAAATGTTCTTTCTTTTATTTCTGTTTTCCTGCCTGTTTCTTGCTCAGCAACATCTAGTAATATAAACGTCATAAGCTGGGCTGTGCTTAGGGTTTCCTGGTAAATGAACTCTTGCCAGTTATTTTAGCAGTACTGGATTCTGCTGCTTTGGTCCACTTTAATTCTTCAGATATATTAGTTTATTACTATACTTAAGACTTTCATTCTGAGTTGCAGTAATAAGTAGGCTTTGAACTGAGAGCTTTAAAATGCTGTGCTGTTCAGTAGTATAGTCAAAAGCAATTATTCTGTGGGTGCTGGGAGGGCAACATGGTATTGTGTTAGTCACATGGAAAGCACATGAAACAGTGGTGTCTGTGCTGCCAAAGATTTTGTTGCTGCAATCACAGTGTACTTGAGAGTGGATGCAGTGGCACTGTATTTTCCAGTGTGACTTGATATATAGGAGGAACTGAGAGAACATTATAATTTCTTCACAAAGTGTTTTGGTAGCTTTTGGCCCTGAGATTTTGTGTTTGATACCAGTACTGATGTCAGGATTTTAAGAATTTAAAATATTCTGGTATCAGTTTTGGCAGGCAAAAAAGCCACTGTTATATTGCAGGTGGTCAGGTGTTTTTCTGATCCTGACGAGCTGATCTGGTGATATTACTTCCTTTCTCTGCTTTCACTTCAGAATAAAAGGAGTACAGAAAACGAAGTGTGAAAGTAGCAGTGATTTATAAAGATGACAAAAAGAGAAAAGATTGGTGTGCACAGGAGAAATGGGAATTTGGGGAGCTAAACTGAAAGGGGGAAAGGGTGCTTTTCAGATGGGTGAGAGGCGAAGTTCTGTAAGAAGAGCAGGGTTCTGTATGAAAACATAGTTGTCTTTGGATGCTTCTGAGTTTGAAAATTAAATCACTCATTGCTCTGTGTGGCTTTGCATCATCCTTACTTCTTCCCCCACCCCGTGCAGTTGTGGTTGTCTCTGTCCTTTGTCTGAAAATGCCTAATGATATCACTGAAAGTACTGGAAAGACATAATTGTATGTTTTGGTAAGATGAGATAAGTAAGGAGAATCATCTTACACGTGGAAAATCCTTATTTATTGTTGAGATGCTAGTAATTGACATATGCTTGTATTGTTTTGATGAGGAACTACATTAAGCAAAAAGTACAGTTTTCTTCCTACTCAGAGCAGTCAGCCCTCAGTTCTTATGATCTATTGAATCCTGATCATGGAGGGGTGCAGAGAGAAAAGAAATATTTAAAACTCAAAATTTAACTACACCAGTTGCTTCCTACCTAGCCTGGCTGTTCTGGGCAGTGGTTTTACTTGTTTTTCTTCCCATACCCTTTGTTCTCTTGTCAGCAGTTCAGTCTGCATTTTAAGACTGAGACGTGCATCTAATAGGGATGCAAGACTTACATTTGTAATTACGAGGAGAGAGTTGGAGTGAAAATAAAACACTGTTTGCCTTTTCACTTGCTGCATAGGAGAAAGGGACTTACTCCATCGGTGTCACATTAAATGTCAGAGAGCATCAGTCATGGGCTGGAGCCATATCTCTTGTGT